AAAGACCAGACCTTCTGACTTGAGGCCCAGCACCATGTTTCAATGTCAGCCAGTTCCCAGGGATGCCAAGGGAGCAACAGGGCAAATAAACAAGCAAATTGGCCACAGAGTCAGGACACACTTCCCGGGCTTCAGCATCTGTTCTCAGTAGGGATTCTTTGGAAATATGTATGTTCTCTAAAATAATTTTTCTGATTTCCAGTCCCTATGACCCACTGCCTTTCTTTTTTTTCTTCCTATCCTAAACCATATCAAAGACAGGAGGGGGCTTCCCTGGTGGCGCAGTGGTTGAGAGGCCGCCTGCCGATGCAGGGGACGCGGGTTCGTGCCCCGGTCCGGGAAGATCCCACATGCCGCGGAGCGGCTGGGCCCGTGAGCCATGGCCGCGGAGCCTGCGCATCCGGAGCCTGTGCTCCGCAACGGGAGAGGCCACAACGGTGAGAGGCCCGTGTACCGCAAAATAAATAAAAAAAGAAAGAAAGACAGGAGGAATTTTTCGGCAAGTATCACTGTTTTTTTGCAAATGCGGTTGACACTTCAATGTGACTGGACCATTCAGTGCCCGGCTGAGGAGTGGCTGTCACTACACATCGACAGCTCAGCCTCCAAACAGTCCAGCCTCTTCTGCAGGTAGATGCCTCAACTCCACGCAAACTGTGCAAAGTTAGAGCTCAAAATGTAGACTTCCTCTGTACTTCTCACAGAGGAGAGTGCCTCTTGTGTAGATGATAAACGCTCGATGAACATGTGATGAATAAATGAAGAAAAGAACTAGCACATTTCAGCTAATATCAACTCAGGGGATTTTCATGTTTTAATGAATGGCTCGTGATAGCTAAATTTAAGATCTTTGATGGTTTCATTAAACTTCCTTCATAGGATTAAAAACAAGTTAGATGAAGTGGGGATGAATTAAATAAACTGTGGATGGCTATAGTCTGAGATTTAGTGACCTGGAGAAACATTCAGGATATAATATAAATTAAAAGATGGAGGTTACATGTGGGATGTAAACCAAATTACTTATTAAATTATACACATAGACATATAAAACTATATATAAAGGCTAGAAGGCTATAAATAAAAATCTTAGCACCGGTTATTTTTAAGTTGTGGATGATGAGTGATGTGGTTTATACTCATACAACCCTTGATGCGGGGGAAAAACATTTCTATTTTTCATCTTACATACAGGTCACATTTCATGCGAACTTCTTTTAGTGCAAAGTCTAGAAAACACTGCTTAAGGGACTTCTGGTGCCACAACGAGGTCTCAGATTAAATCTCACAAGATTTTGTTTGCACTGATTTATTTATTAATTTATTTTTGATGGGGGTGGGATAGGTTGAGAGAAAGCTAACTCAGTCAGAATATCATATAAAAGCTCCAGCTTCTCCTATTTCTCCAAAAGATATGGGGCAACTCCTTTCCCACCACAGCCGACCCTGAAGTGGCTCTAATGATTTAGATAAAAGGAAGTATCTCTCTTCCTTCTCATCTGATATGTTTGGAAGTGAACACTGCTACCTGAAGCTGCAAGATAGAAAAATCCAGGTGCTATTTCTTCGATGACAGCAAGGAAATTAAAGAACACTATCAAATATCCCAAGTTCCAAAGTATGTACCATTAAACACTTCCTGAGAATAAACAAAGATGAGGGTGACTTACCAGAACCATCGTTCCAATTCAATTTTGTATCAACAGTCTAAGTATAATCAGCCTATTAGTGAGAATTGCTTCCTCACCCACACTGCATTCACAGATCATCAGTCTTCATTAATATCCTATTCATAGATTATTGATTTTCATTAATGTAGAATAATTCCCTCTGGTTCAGTCACTGATTAGGTTCTAAATATCTTAAGGACGCCTGTTTTCTGCAGAATCTTAATCTTTGAGAATAAGCCATTAAATAGAACTTCGGAGGAGATAAAAGCCCTTTTATAACTTTCTCATGTTGTTTGACAAAAGAATCCTAAGGCTGTGGTGCTCCACATTCTTTTACGCATTGGAAACAGGAGGACAGAATGTAAGTTTCAGGAGGCTAGAATCTTGATCGATTTCGTCCGCTGACGTATCCCAGGTGCCCAGAACCAGTGCCTGTTAAATCAAGCCTTGTGGAACAAGGGGACTCGTGTTTTCCCCATCAAGCTATCTACGTAAGAGAAGGAATCACGCTTTTACCTTAGGACATTCTGCTAAGATGATGTGATAGCATCCTCTCTGTCCAGACTGATCTTAAAAAGCCCTGCTGCGTTGTGGGTACAATACACTCATGGCATTCGGTTTTCAAACACTATTCAGTTAAGGTGTTTTATTCCCTCTGAGTTCAGTCTCAAAATCTACGGTTATCGCCTCTGTTCTCAAACTCCGTGCAGAGGTGCCCTGGATGGTGCAGTGAACACACAGGAGAGCCCATATGATCTTTTAAAATCCTGAGAAAGCATCGTGAATCCATCAGACCCCGTGGGAACCACTGTCTCCAGGTAATTCACAGTTTCAGCATGAGATGCTACAGTCCTTTCAGTGAGCTCATATTCCCTTGAAGCTGGACTTCCAGAGGCTGCTGTGTACCTCCAATCCATCCAACCAATCAACGAGGAACAGGAAATGAGGTTGACAAAGTCCAGTCTAATTCAAAGATTTGAGAAGTTACCCAGTGCCCAACAGGTAAACGCATCCATTAGTCAGCGTGGTTATTTAAGGATAAAGTACAAAATTAAGACTTCTTTCAATGCACGTGCATTATTTTTGCACACGGCTGCTAAGTCATTAGGACATAACTACTCATTAAGTTGTCTGGACACAAAGAGTTATGACATCCTACTGTATACTTTGCTTATTGCTTGAGCAAGTATTAATGACCTGCTAACTGGGCACTGCTCGAAGTGCCTCTCCTCACAAATCTCAGCTGAGAGGCAGAAAGTCAGCTTCTGGGGGAGAGACTCGACTCACTGCCACCCCCATGCCTGCCCCCAGCAGGTGTCATCCTTAGAGTGGTGAGCAGGACAGCATCACCCAGACCACAGCCAGTATTGCTAGAGGGCAAGGGAGGGCCGATGAGCTGACCCCTGGGAACGGATACTAACTCCTGCTCTTTTCATTCTGCCATCGTTCTCCGGCGTCACCTGATCCATACGCCTTGCTCAGGGATGGGAATGATTTACTTATCCAGTGGCATCAGCTATTCAATCAGGGAGCCAGCTTCCTGGATCGTTTCTTATAGGCTATGAATATTTACAGACGATTCAAAGATGAGAAAAGTGATCAGTGCCAGAGACACAGCGGAGATAAAGTGCAAGCTAAGTCTGGAGGAAGACAGAGAAAGAGGGTGGCCTTTTGGCCTGGGCTGGAGGGAAGCTGAAACTTTAGAAGTAATTAGGGAAGTTAGCGCTGATACTGTCCCCTGAGTAGAACACATGCATCTACACTTTTCTTCTTTACCCTTAGGCAGCATCCCTCGCGGCCCCAAAGCCACCTCCTGGCTTCTCCATCCGGCCTCAGCTTTGAGTTACCTTAAGCCCACATCCCTAAAGGTAACATTGACCTCGATAACCCAGAGTTTGCAAGTTATGAAAATTGCCTCTACTTTGTATTTAAAACTATGAATGTTAGCTCTGCATGTATCTATTTGGTTAATCCAAATAATCTAGAAATAAAGTACTTTGTATTAACTCCCACTTAGAAACTGCTAAGTCTTAACATTTGGCGCTCTTGGTAGTCAGCTCTATAAACCTCAAAGCAACCCAAGAACTTCCAGAGGTCAGACTGTGAAACATGGGGTTACCTGGCCCCATCATGCACGCTGCCCCCTAACACCTGGATCAAGAGAATCCAGAATATTAAGAGCTAAAGCAAGAAGGTTCTCCAGCCCCACAGAGTTTAAGGACCACGGCCTCACCCCACTGCTTCTGATCTTGAGCAGTGAGGTTGCTGGGTAGAAGACGATCGTACGTAAGGAAGAGGTTTTAGGCTAGGTAAGACTTCGAAGATAAACGCTAGAAAATCATCAGGCAATCCAGTTCCTGTGGAAACAGAAGGCTACTCAGAGCCCGAATTGTTTAGACGTAGCATCCATAATCATTCCTTTAACTATGGTTTTGACCATAAGCTGCACAGTGCATTGCCAGGCAGACACAGCCAAAAGGGAGTGCATAAGAGAGAATAGAAGAGCTCTCAGTTGAAGAATTTTTAGGACAAGAGTGCCATTGACAGCCAAGGAGTGTGAAGCCTCTTAAAACGTGTTACTCTGAGTGTGCTCCAAGGACCAAGGACATCAACATCGCCTGGCAGTTTGCTGGAGATGCAAATCTCAGGTCCAGTCCCGGACCACTGGATGAGAACCTACATTTATGAGAGCTTCAGATGACTCACAGGCAAATTAAATTTGGAAAGCACTGAATTAGGATTCAGTGGTTCCCATCCCTGGCTAAGGGTTAGAATCACCTGGGAGGAGTTGAATACTTATGGACTCCAGGCCACAACCCAGAGCAATTAAATCAGGATCCCCCGGCTCAGGGCTCAGCATCCGTAGCATCCGTAGCACTTTTGCAAGGTGCGTGTAGTGTGCGGCTGGGGCTGGGAACCGTGGGACTGAAGGAGCACCATCTGGCTTGGACCCCACATTCACCTTGACCTTACCAAGCATCTGTGATTCCCTGTCTCATCCGTTCGACTATAACTGGCACCGTCTTCCCCATGAGACGTACAGCACCACTCCGGCCCTCTTGGAATGGAAACATCTTTAATTTCAAGTGGCATCTTGTATAATGACGTGTAGAATTTAGAACTTGGGCCTAGACAGAGTCTTGCCGGGTTAGCACGAGGTCTCCCAGAGCACGTTTCCAACCCCCTCCTGTCAGAAGGAAGGTGTAACAGGCTCTAGACACCTTTCTGGCTGTTTTCCAACAGATGTTCATTTTTAAATAAACACTTCCTTTTTCCCTCCTTATTCCAATGGACAGCTTTCTTATTTAATAAATACTAAAATTGTTTTAGGCCTATGGCCATACCGCCCTGAATGCGCCCGATCTCTTCTGATCTCGGAAGCTAAGCAGGGTCGGGCCTGGTTAGTACTTGGATGGGAGACTACCTGGGAATACCAGCTGCAGTAGGCTTTAACAAAATAAAAAGTAAAAATAAATTTATAGAACTATTTTACTACATTGCATTAATTCTACAGAAGCTTTCTTAATAAAACAAATCAAAAGAGACAATGGGAATAAAAAATATAACATGGTTTTTAAATGAAATCCAACCACAACTCAGGGTGGGGTTTCTAATTAGACAATAAAATGGGGCTAATTGTTCAACCTCATATCGTTGCTATGAGGAGTGGTAATGAAATGTTCAGGTAGCTTGTTTTAAGCATCTGGTTACCAAAGTAAACGGCACACGTTGTAGAATGAGAGCCAGAGAGATGGCTCATGGAAGAACGGTGCATCAGTAATGGTTAAAGGATTTGGAATGGCTGAACCAGAAGAAAGCAGGCTGCAGACTTATAAATCTTGAGACTCATAGAGGACTATGGCATTTGGACCAACGGCCAGCTGTTTTCCAAAGCTGCTCAAAGAGGGAAACAGAGTGAATCTGGAACAGTAGGCCTTTGGAAGACAGGTAGCTTAAGGAACTTCATGCCTGATGTGAAGCAGGCTTCCTGGCCCTGGGATGGGGACCTGAGGGAGGTTTACAGAATGTGAGCATTATTAATACCCAGTGGTGGAGGGGAAGAGTGTTTAAATCACACCAGATACTGGGACTTAGAATGAAATGGAACCTTACTGGAAACAGATAGATAAGATGCTAAGTCCAGATTCTGTGAATTTCTAGGTATAACTAGTCTCTGGATGAAACATAACATTTTTTTCCAAAAGGCAAAATTCTTGAATATTAAATCATCAGGGTTAAACAGATATATGGACATCTTTCTTTCTGAATTATTTTGACTAAAACTCCCCTCCCCTTGGTATTAAGAAAGATCAAGGAAACCATTGCCAGAGTTAGTTTTCGCCTCCCTTGCCCACCAGCATTCTTGATCTATTAGTTCCACTATCTGAAAATGAAAATTCAAGTATTAATATTTCATCCGCTCTATTGACTGAAAAGCAAAATGAAGATGCCATGATTAGCACTTTGCACTAATCGAGGTGTAATTACAGTGAGAATTCGTGAGGAGGCCTTTAACCCCAGAATCCTGCTGCCCGGGTAACTGATTCCAGCAGGTGGGACAGAGTGGCCATCATGCCTTCCAGTGACCAAGGGCTCCTGGCTTCCAAAGACCTTTGTATCTTTCGGTTTTGAGGGCTGCACTTGCAAGTCCCAGGTGGTGTCTTTAGCCAGTTTCGCTAATTATAAGAGTGGCTGCAACTCCTGCCCTCTCACGGTTGACAACATCCTCTGGAAAACCTAGATGGATTTTCCATTAAAGCCATAAACTAGCGTGTGCCCATGAGACAAGTGAAGAGAGTCACTTAGCAGGAAGTCCTACACCAGAGAAGCAGCTTCTCTGAAGGCTGAGCGTACAGTAAGGAAGCATGAAAGGTCATCTACCTGTTTTCGGACAGGGAAACTTGCTTGGTATCTGGATCACATGACAATTTATAATGCAGGATAACCCCTGGAGAAACTGTCTATTTTCCTGTAGACTCACTTCATGAAGAGGAAATGTGCTTTTCTTTCACATTCCAACAGGAGAGCCTTGGAGTTGCGGTTTTCCTCACCTCCACGAGAGAAGGAACCCATGCATTTGTTCCGGCCTGGCTGAGAGGCAAAGGGATCTAAGTGTCAGAGGCGTGTGACCGATGTCAGGAAAGGGATTGCTCGGGACTAGGAAAAAAGAGGATGGTACGTATGGATAGAGACCTCTGTGTCCAAGGTGGCAGGACGTCCTGGGAATGTCTACGATGGGACCACGGCCTTCTCTTTGAAAGCCTAGCTTGGCACGGAGGGGTTGAAACCACCGAGGAAAGTCACTGACCTGGAGGAATACACCAGTCTGCACAGGCAGAGAGGAAAGTGAGACTCACTTCTGAGGAAGTCCTGGGTCTCCACCTTGAACCTGTGGAAGCCCAGCACCCAGCAGCCTCCTGGGTGATCAGAAAGTAGGCAGAGCCCACAGGCTGAGGGACCACTTTGGGGGTACCCACATGCTTCTAGGCCCCTGTGTGGCCCCTGTATCCCAAAGAATGAACAAGACTGGCCTTCTCACCAAGCTTCAAGGCTAGAGGACAGAAGTCTTGTAAATTGATTTTTTAAATATAAAGACATTTAATATTTGTGGCACTCAAGTATTATCCAGTAATTCACACTTACTGCATCTGATGATGGAAAAAACCAAACTGAGTGTTAAGCAAGACTTTTAAGCCTGATGTTTAAAATATATAGATGTTTCAGAGGATGAGAATAGAGTCTGGGACATTTACTACCAATTATTTTAGGTGGAATGCTTACTTTACAAGTGCCTTCTCGATTTCATAAACTAGACAGTTTTAGGGTTCTTGCCTTTAGTCAATAATTTAAGAATTGTTGCCAGAAAATCTCTCACTCACAGGTTTCTGAATCATAATGCAACCTGTGTGGATGCCAAGTCCTGGCCATGCCTCTTATTGACAGTTTCAGAATAAGCACAGGAAATTGATTGTTTTATTGGTCTACTATATTCCTTCCTAAAAATGTGTCAAAGAACACTTTCTGGAATAAAGGCATAACTGCATCATAAAAGCTGCTGAAATCATCAACTATCTTATACTGCTGTTGGATCACCCAGAGGAGAAAAGTGAGCTTGTGGTATTTTAAAAGATTGGTGAAAATCAGTTGGGAGGTGGCCTCATTGTTGAAATCTTTAATTCTACCCAATCACTGATGCATTGTTTTATTGGTCATCAAATATAAAATAAAAAGACAGTAGCCTTGATCTAATCATTGTTCCAAGCCTCTTATGATCCCCTCTACAAAAGCATGACCCAAAGAATCTGGCTTGCCTCTCATGCCAATTCATTTAAAACCTGATTCCCTGTAGGGTAGTCAGCGGCCTGACTTGTGTGTTTTCTCTTGACAGTGTGACACCAGGGAAAGATCACTGCAAGAGAAGAGAAGCCTCTTTGCCATCAACCAGTTTCATCACTTTGGGCAAATAATGTCATCTCTCTAGACTACAGTGTCCTCATCGGGAAAATGAGGTGGTTGATATAATAATTGCTAAGAGCCTTCCAGTTCTGCAACTCTATGAATCTATGACTTGTTGCATTTATAAGCATCAGAAATGCCAAGGTCATCATCAGAACAAGTGCACTGATCTGAGGACAATGCCTTAGAACAAGCCAGCTTTCCTAATTTAAAAGAAAACACACCACTACGAAGATCTGCCTGTTTGACAAACTATTGTTTGCATCTACTAAAAGCTAGACAGGTTATGCCAGGCACACCAAATAACCTGAGTCGGATGATAGAACTGCTGTGGTGGAGAAAATCTTCAATGCAAATATGAGGCACTGATTGGATCTGAAATGCATATATTATTCAAAACGTGAATTTATTTAAGTTTCAAACAGATCCAGAATACCCTTTTCTTTATTCATTCAACAGAGAACTCAAATAAGCAATTGGGTATCAGCCATAGAAATTTATGGAAAAGTTCTAAATCTCTGTCTCGTTTTCAATAGGAAATAAGGGAAAAAAGGAGACAAGCAACAAGATTTCAGAAGAGGAATATACGATAAATACACCCACACACGGGACAAGCAGAGTGGACAAGATCATTGCTTGTCTATTTCTTTCCCCACACAGTGGTTCACTGTTCCCACAAATGAGAAATTCTTTTTTTTTTTGAGCTTCATTTTTTTAAATTGAGAGACATTCTTGATTGAAGGTGTATAAATAACTGTCTTTGCGGCTTTATTGCTTCCAGTCATCTTAGTGAGAGTCTTGGGGGTGCAAATGTCTGCAGATCATTTTACAAAGAATTATTTATCCTCACCTAGAGATCAAGGGAAAAGCCTTAGAAAATGCAATCAGAAATCCTGGGTTCAAGTTCTGATTGTATATTTCACTATGTGACACCAGGCAAGTCACCTTACCCTATAGAGCCTCAGTTTCTTCATCAACAAAATGGAGCTAATAATATTTTGTATTTATTACAAAGATTAAATGAAACAATGAAGGTAATATTTCTGAGATAGTATCTTTTTTGGGGGGGGGTGGGAAATGCAGAGTGAGATAATATCTTAACAATTATAAGTTACGATCACTGATTTTACCATTAGGTTAAAAATATATATATATATATCATCAGGTTAGATTCAGCCTGCTCAACTACAGTTTTACCACAGGGCAGGATCTTTTAAAATACGATATATTTTTGCTTCATTGTTGAGAGATGAAAAGACTTTTTGAAAGCTACAGTTTATAAATGTAATGAATATAAAGTAACTTTTGTCATGTAGACAGTTGATTCTTGTTATCCGTGGTAGTTATATCCTATAAACTCTCCAGGAATACTGAATTAGTAAATACTGACCGAGTATTCCTTGGGGAAATAGAGTTAGGCTCCTGTGAGCTTGTGGTCACATTCTGATCAACTGGTCAATATAGAATCTTGTTTTACGTGTGCTTCTGTTTAAAGACACCTTCTTTAATATATATTTTTGATTCACTAACATTTAACTCAAAGCCAACACATTACAACTCATGCCTGAATAAAGCTTATCTAAACACACACATTTTCCCTGTAAGGCACATCACAGCCTTCCTGCACTTAGGAAAACTAGACAGCACTCCAGGGCCGTCCCGGGGAGCCATTTTATTTTATTTTATTTTTTTATTTTTTTTGCGGTATGCGGGCCTCTCACTGTTGTGGCCTCTCCCGTTGCAGAGCACAGGCTCCGGACGCGCAGGCTCAGCGGCCATGGCTCACGGGCCCAGCCGCTCTGCAGCATGTGGGATCTTCCCGGACCAGGGCACGAACCCGTGTCCCCTGCATCGGCAGGCGGACTCTCAACCACTGCGCCACCAGGGAAGCCCCGGGGGAGCCATTTTAAATGGCAAAATTTCCAACAAAAAGCACAAAAGTGCAAAACACCTGGCAGGAAATAGATTGCAAAAAAGGCACTTGTTTGCAGTA